GCCAGCTCAGAGGTAGAAGAATTCCAGGGCTAGCTATATTAATTTTCCAGAGTAGAGGCTCTTAATATTTTATTATTATTGTTGGTCATGATTCTGTTGGAAAAGAGATCTAAGAAAAAAGGTTCAATCATATTCCAATGATTACCTCTGGTAAGGCCTGGAGGGACAGATGCACTGAGAAGGCCTTGTAAAGCCTTTGTGCTTTACCTATGGGCTTCTTTATGGGATGGGGACCACTGGGAAGAGCTTTGAATTCCTCGTGGAGTCCCTGTGTCGGAGTCTTGGGTGCAAGGGCAGCAGTTTACAGCATGTCATGAAATCAGGGCACACAAGAGTATTGAGGGTGCAGTCGGTCCTTTTGAGACCCCTCTCGGTAGACATCAGTCTCTACCTTCCTTTCTACCTCAAAACTTACAACTTTAAGGTGCAGTCTTTGAGAAACAGGAACATTTCACTTGGTTGGCACAGTGGAGGATTTGAACATACAATTCCTTTGCTGTATGTTGTGGATTGCGCCCTCCTCTGAGTCACAGTTTGCAATCATACCTCCATGCTCCAGAAAGAGAAGGTGGGGCCTTCGGGAGATCATTAAAATTAAAGTCCTCAGAGTGGAGGCCTTATAAATGGGATTAGTGCCCTTAAAAGAGTCAGGAGTTTGCCTGTTCTGCTCTCTTTGTATCCTATGAGGATACCTCAGGAAGTCTAACTAGTCTGAAAACTAGAAAAGGAATCTATTAGTGCTGGCATTCTGACCTGAGTCTTCCAGTTCCCAAACTGTGAGAAATTAATTTCTGTTGTTTTTAAGCTCCCCACCCCCATTTTATGTTTTGTTGTTGTTATACCAGCCTCAGATGATGAAGACACCGTCCTTTCCTTAAAATATTCCCTCATTGCCTTCATCACCAAACTGCCCTCCAAGCTGTGACCCTCAATTCACTTCAGTTCCCCAAAAGAAAATAAAATTAAACTCTGGGGTCTACAGGAAAAGAATCCATTGAAATATGTAAACATAACACCCATGAGAGGAACAATTTATTAACAATGCAATTACCCTTGTTTTTAATGCTCAAACTGAGCAACCAGTGAACAGCTGGGAGCTGCTGATTCAAGATCAGCCAAACAAAAAGCAAATCATTTGAGCTGGCTTTCCTTTGAATTTCCAACCGCTCTCTTAAAACAGAGAACAGAAGTGTGAGGCAAGAAGCAGTTTCTTTTTCCAAGATCCAAAGGACCTGAGTTTTTCACTCTTGTCCTTAATTTAGCAAATCAGCTCCTGCTAAGATGTCGCCCCTTCTGCCCAGGCGGTGTTTGCTACCCATGAGGCTGAGTCTGGCATTGAGACTCCAGTTGTCTCCCTCAGGTGCCATCATGCTGTGAACCTCCAACTCTCTGTGGGGTTGTCTTCTCCCTTCTGTATTTTTTTCTCCTCATCCCTTTCAACCTACTTTGTCTTTTTTCTCTAGGATTCCCTGAAAGTAGTACTCTTTATATGACCAAATTTTGAAATGAAAGCATGTTTATTTGTGTCTTTGTGTAGTCCCCAGTCATACTTTGTGATTGCTTTTGCCTACCTCCTTCATCCTCCACCTCATCCACTGGGTCATGGAGCTGGAAGGGCAGATTTCTAAGTACATTGTGAGCCTGTTCCCTGCTGATGAATCTGTCTCTGGTGAATCCTCTCAACCCCTGCATCTCTGGCCTGTACCCCAGCTCTTATATGCATAAATAAATCTTAAAAAAAAAAAAGTAAAACCAGGCAGTATACTGTAGAATCCATGCCCTTGACTGCAACTACATACTTCACAAATATAAGGTTATAAATGCAACCTGACAAAATATCTTCCAATAAATCTTTAGCACCCTTAAAAATGTTCCTCGCCTTAGCTCTTGTTCCAGTGAACAACCAAACAGCATTGAAGTTGTCTCCAGAAAGAAAGGCAGAATTGGTGTAAACTGACAAGCATATTCATTTCCTAGGGCTGCTATAGCAAAATGGCATGCATGAGTGACTTCAACAAAAATTTATCATCTTGCTGTTCTGGAGACTAGAAGTCTGAGCCCAAAGTGTGGGCAGGATTGGTTCCTTCTGAGAGCTCTGAGGGAAGAATCTGTCCTATGACTCTTTCCTGGCATCTGGTGGTTTTCTGGCAATCTTTGGCAATCCCTCCTCTGCATCATCGCAATCTCTACCTTTATCTTCTTGTGGTATTCTCTATGTCTATGTCTAAATATTGCCTTTGAATGAGGATACCAATCACATCGGCTTAGAAGGCACCTAACTCCAGTGTCACTTTGGCTAATTACATCTGCAATGACCTTGTTTCCAAATAAGGTCACATTCTGAGGTACTTAGGGTTAGGATTTCAACATAGGAATTTGCAGGAGGCAGGCATGACATAAAATTGAACCTATGATACCAGGTTTTATAATTTTTTACTGCAGCAATTTTCAATGATTGTAACTCCCTTTTATTAAGAGGCAAAAGGTTTGATTCTAAGATCTAACCACAAGTGCAGCTTCTCAGCTTTGATTTAGCACTCAGATTTCAGTGCCACCCTGATTCTGAAAGGATACCACGCCACTGCTCCCTGAAAGAATCCTGATAAGAACATGACCTCTTTTAAATGACTAAATGCATAATTTTAGCTCACTAAGGATCATGAAGGACCAGAAAAAGGGCTATTAGATATCTCAGGTATTAACTCTGGTGTTGCCATTGACTTGCTCTCAGTGTAGGGCTACATTTATTTTTTCTACAAATGTATTTTCCTGGTGATAAAACTTCCTACTTCAGATTCAAGCACCTTCCCTTCCAATCAATTCCTCCTTTTTGATTCCCTATCTTGAAAAGGTACCATTATTCTCTCAAATGTACAAACCAAAGAAAATGCCTCAATCTCTACAAATAAACGTGTTCATTTGCCTTCCTGAATAGTTTCTAACATACTTTACAGTCACCTTCATTTAAATTCTCATTTTCTCCTGCCTAGACCTCTTCCATTTTTCTATTGCTGCCTTTCCAATTGGAATAACCAGCCATAATCTTGCTGAAAAACTTTAAATGACTTCCCCATGAAAAATAAAGCGAAACCCAACTCTTTTACATGACAATTATCATCTGGTGTCCTGGTCTACATTCTCTCCCACCACTATTCCAGCATGTACCATTTCCATACGTACTGGATCTGCCAGTGTCTCTGTATCATAGCACTCTTCTATCTGCCTAAAGTAATGCCTCCATCCTCACTAACTCCCATACATCTAAGATTCAGCTTAAATATCACTCCAGATTAAGTGCAATACTCCCTTTACCCTTATGCCACACTGAACCTCTATATAACTCTGGGCAAGCAGTAACTCCTCTGTTTTCTGGTAGTCTATTTCCACATTTGCTTTCTAATAGCTTGTGAAAAACTTCAGAACATATCGTGTTTTAGACCTTTGTTTTTTCCCCTCTATATCCCGGGGAACTGGCAAGAGCCCAGTGCATATAAGCAAATAAAAATATTTCATAAATTATGATTTTGGATTTTCTCATTCTTTCTAAAATACTCAGTCTAGCAGCTGGGTGGGCAGGGAGATCCTTCACAATTTCAGAGGTGTGTTTCAGCTGCATTCACATAAAACCCAGAATCATCTGGTAGGGAGTCACAGACAGTCCCAGAGATACTTAAATCCACTATTCCTGTAGGCTGTGCTCAGCAGGGTGGATGTGGCCATCCATCCATGATCCTTTACTGTTCTGGGCAATAGAGTCACGAACAGTATCATTTTGACATGTTGAAGGTGGAGAGAAGTCATAACTACTCTTATTCCAATCGTAGGCACACTTTCATTCAAAGGTAAAGGTGACCAACAAAGGGGCATAGATGAATAAAAGAACTTTTAAACATAGATTGAATAATATGAACAAGTTACATTAAAATAAAAAAAGGGCCTCCCTGGTGGCGCAAGGGTTAAGTCTCAGCACTATCAAGCTATTGGCAGCCACTGCAGCACTAACTCCATGCCCAGTCATAACCCACTTGGCTCAGCAGACCTCTCCAGACTCACTCGCTGCTCACCTCAGCAGTGTTATTTCAGTCACTCCACCTGTTCTGCTCCCCACTCTGTCTATGGTGAATCCTCTGAGGCCCCACACCTCTGGCCTATACCCCAGCTCTTGTATTCATAAATAAATAAAATAAAATCTTTTTAAAAATAAAATAAACAAAGATATGACTTATTTGTCTTATAAATATGCCTCTAATTAGGGTAACCGAAGGAAATATCCTAAGTGATTTTTACTTCAAGTCACTCATCACAAAATCCTATATACACAGCTGAATAATAACAATTTAAATCCTAAAAGAATGATATTCTGAATAGAAAACATGCTGCTCTCAACAATATTTTAACAAAACATTAAATAAAAAGCAAACAGTTTGGGGGAGGATCCAAAAAAGAAATTAGGACAACAGGCTGGTAAAGCTGTCCCTGGTATCTTTCCCAATAAACAAAAAAATACAGAAATTGTACACTTAATTTTCTCCTAGAAAATTAGAACTCTTTGTATACATCTTAATCTATTAATACATTAGACAACTTTCAATAACTATTTTTTAAGTTTTGGATCACAGGAACCATTTGTTCAGCCATGACTGTCTCTTATAACTCTTGGCAAACTACTGCATTATCAAGCAACTGTTAATTGGGGGTGGAGATAATAAAGGAACAGATCCTAGTGAATTACTATACTCAGTTCACATGCCATGCTAAACATGGGAAATGTGAATTCCATTATTAAAAGTCATGGAACTTACAGGTAAAACCCATCAGCACTGGCTAAGATGTCCCCATTTTTCTGGCCAATATATTTTTTAGAAGTTCCTTGTTTTAAATATAAGCAATCACAGGTGGCTAATGTTTGTTTTAACTTTTTATTAAGAAACTAAAGCAAAACAGAATTTCAAAAAATTAAAATACATAATTCTAATTTTAATTCTAAACAAATATGAAATCTACTCCAAGAACTAAAAATCACTTTACCAATATTTAATAAAGGGGATTGGCTAAAATACATTCACAGTCATATTTCTTCCTTACTAGCTTCAGAATTACATTCCTTTCCTTTCTGCTTCATTTAGCTAGGTCACAGAAATTCCTTCTCATCTATCTTGTTATTATAGTCTGTAACTTAAGAGGAGCTTTTGTCTTTCAACATAGTACTTTCTCTTTTCCTTCAGCAAATATGGAAGCATCAAGCATTGGGCTTAGAGATGTGGGCATAAAAATGAATTCATGAGATCCTGTCCTAAGATGTTTTGGGGCGATAAGACATCAACAAATGAATAATAAATTTATACAAGGTATAAATGTGTTAAGTATAGATAAAATAGAAAAATAGAAAACTTTCCAGGAAGGAGAGATTATATTCAACTAGAGGAAATGAGGAATGCCTATGACAACAGCATTTGGGTTGAGTATAACTGTTCCTTCCAGGAAAACTTCAAAGTGGTCCCAAATGTGGTGTTCTTGATATCTGGAAAGTAATCTTCTCAAGTAATCCTTATAACGCTGCAAGTTTCTATCTCTTCAAATTTGTTCATTTTTAAAAATTGATCAAAAAGATTAACATTTCAATCTGTATCAGCAGCAGTTTGGGGAACAAAATTAAAATTATACTAGTACCATACATGGTTTAGGGCTGTTATTTTTGAAACTCTTTCCAAGGTTAAATCATATCTAAAGACAGAAGATGCTTAATCATTGAGCCATGACTTTTAAGTATTCAACTGGGCAAAGCCTACTTGCTTTAGGTACTTTACCAGATCTACATCTAAACTTACATGAATGAGAATGGAGATAAAACAAATGGTTTAACATTCAAAATCATATAATAAAAAAATGGCAATCATGAAAATGATATATATTCTTTGTATGAAAAGTTTTAATGAATTGTGAGCCATTAACCATTACAGACTTTAAGCCTTAGTATTTCTTCTTTCCTATGTAAAACCAGACAATTAAAACAGCCTATTTCAAGAATGATAGAAGACCATAGTACATATAAGAATAATAGTAAAATCTGCTTACACATCTGCATGTTTCACGAAAGAACCAAAGAGAATGCTCCCAGTGCCCCAAATCAATAAAGCACGCAATTACACATTTTTTCTGATCATAATTTCAATTAAAATGCAACAAAACTACTTTGCCTTTCAACAGCACTTTTTATCCATAGCATAAGCACTTTCCCATTACCCATTCTTTTCCACTTCACCTTCAATATCCTTGTGAGGTAGTGAAGAGAGGGAGCAAGAATTTTCTTTTTTTTTTTTTTTTTGCAGATGAGAAAATTTAAGATGAATTCATATCAGTGGCTCTCAACCTTGGCAGCATACTTAAATTACCTGGGAAGTTTTTTAAAAATTCTATGGTCATGCCATATCCCAGACCAACATCATAATCTTAGTGTACAGGACCCAAGCATCAATATTTTTGAAAACACACTAAAATACAGGTAAGATTGAAAGCCACTGGTTTAGATAATTTATACTCAATCTTCAGGAGCAACTATCTTCTACCTAAATGCTCTCTCAGCACCCATGAAAAAAGATTTGATTTCCTTGAACATTGTAGCACTTTGCTTTCATAGTCTGGTATAGTTACTACTGGTCTCCAGTAGCAAATTCGTGTATTGAGTTATAAATAAAGGCTTTTCATTGCTAGTGCTCATGCAAACTATGAACCTCCAGTTTACAAAATCTACAAGCAGGATATTAAGGAATTCAAATCTTTGAGAGAAGAATGGCTTATTGTTAAATATTTAGGCCATTACTTTAATTCTAGGTTTAATAGGCAATAACCATGTGTTTCTGTTTTCCATTCAGCACCTTCAAAACTGTTACAAATGAATGTTTATTAAGACAAAACAGAAATTATAAACAAAACTCTCGGCAAAAGCTCTTAGAGTTGGCCACTTCACAACCTGAAAAAGATATTTTTTCTAATTTATACTAGAATAATTTTATATTTCTAATTAGTTCAATCTTGTTCCTGAATCAGTTCTCTTTTTCCAATTAAATTTTAAACTTTGCCAAATTTTAGTTGTTCTACACCAAGAAAAATGAATTTATGTAGCAGCTATATAAGCTATTCTCTAATTCATTTAACATATAATTATACTCTATACTATTAAATATGGTTTCCAGGTTTCTTCTTGACATGAGATATGATACCATATACACAATAATACTTGTAAACCTCCCAGGTGGCAAAAAATAAATTTTTGCTCATGACTGAAATTCCCTGTTTCATAAGACTATTGATAATTTCAACTCTCAAGGAGTGACCCAAGAACCCCAGCCAGCTGCTTGCTGTCCCTAATTTTATTAGATTTAAAACAAAATATACATACAGAAATAACCTAAAAAGTACAAAGATTCCATTTGCCTTAGTCAATTCTTATCACAAAGTTGTATCTGAAACCATACAATTTATACTTTCATACAGAAAGATGTCAGTTTCTCTCCTAACAAAAGACAATCTTAGCTCATGTATATTGGATTATTAATTTGAAAGAGTATTTGTGAAATCTGACTTTTTAGTCAATAATCCAGAATAGGAATTAATGTTAAATTCTTCTACAATGATACCCTCAAAATACTGCCAACCTGAAGTTTTCAACATAAGTGTTTTATTTCCAGTCCCATAGGGGCAATTATCTATAATGAGATTAAGAATATTCTAACCCGGGTTCAGGTTGGCACTGTTTTAGACAAGTCAGTAAACATTTTCTTGATAACGCCAATGAAGAGTTTGAGGCTTAGGTTGTTGCATGATGTAAACAATATGAAATTAAAAAAATCATATCTACAGCATTATACAGTTACAAAATAAAAAGACCACTGATTCTTTTCCTAGAGTCTATGACAAACGGCTTTCATATTTGAGACCTATAAAAACAAATGGCAACATTCATTATGAGACACTTTCTCACAAGGCTAAAAAATAAAACCAGATACTTTAAGATGCACATTATTATTATTATTATTACTGATATATGTATAACTGGAAATAGATTTGCCTTCCCTCAATCTTTAGCTAGGAGATTTCAGGATCTTTACAATAATTTTTGATGGTTCAAAAAAAAAAAAGACTAATAGCTGTGGAAACTAAATCAAACATAATACAAAATGAGCCATTATAACACATCTCTAAAATCCTCTTCTTTGTAGTTACCCAATCATCCCTAAACATTATTCTAATTTTGTACCATGTAGTGGTTTTTAAGAAATTGAACTAGAACAAAGCAATCCTTTGTCCTTTTTTGTTTACACACACATTGTATATACAACTTTTAAAATAGCTGCACAATTTTATATCTCACTGGTAGAGAAGTGCAGTCCAGGCAGACCATGCTTCTCAATATATTAAAAATATTAAATAAAACCCAACCAGTTTCATACTTTTCTGATAGTCAAGCTGGCTGGAAAAAAGGGTCTGGAGAAAAAACAGGCAGTTGTAAAACATGATCAGTCTTTCTTCACAAACACACTACTTTAAAATCTTGCTATTTCTTTATCTTTCCCTTTTATAGCTTCCTAAAATCTCACCTTAAAAGTTGGAAATAACACATTGCTAACTTAGAGACAAATTTTGTTGCAACATGCATATGTCAACTGCCCACTCAACCAACTGCAACCCTGAGGACTTTTCTGGCCCAGTAGAAAGAGGAAATACTAAGATAATCTCTGCTGTAGAGTTGCTTCTCCAGTTAACAATTTCACGTGTTTTTCAGGATGTTTCTTGGGCATGCATGTATGACACTGTCACTTCATGATTCTACTTTCGCCATAAGCAGATATCTCCTCCACTCTGTCTTTCATTCCAAGAAAGCCACTGTCATCCATCCAAAGGTTTTCCCAGGTAAACCAAAGTCACTTCTGTGTTTCCATATACAGCAGAAACTGCTGGATATAAGCAGGCCTTTGGAAGTCCTCTAAAGGCAACCCCCAGGAACTCATATCCACGTTCAAAAGCTAAAGTCTTATCTTCCATGTCCAAGATGACTCGAATTCTTTCTCCTATCTGCAAACAGACATAAGAAGAAGGTTAAAGAAAACCTATTAACACCATAGCTAGAAGAAACATGATATGTATCAACAAGTGAAAATATTAAGAATACATATATCCTTAAAGTTACCTAGAAAAAAGAGAAGACAGTTTTCTGGTGTGGTCTGAGGAAAAAACATGTAGAAGAAAAAAATACATCTAGTTCTTTTCCATTTGAAAAAGTAGACAAATAAAGATATTTTATCTTTATAGCCTGCAACAACCTTTATAGGTTGTATATTTGGAGGAAGAAGGTCGTAACGTTTAAAATAAGAAATCATACTTCCCAATTATGATAATCCCTACTGTCATCATTATCTTACTTCATTGTAATTCCAATTACAAATTACTGCCAACATCTGCTTTTTCCCACTGCCTTGGCCTAACTTATAAATTAACTCGAACCCATTTTTACAGACTTAAGAACCCCCAAATCACCATGACCATTACTGCTACAAACAAAACAAGCATCAAAAAGTCATGAAAATTTAGTATTTTGTTGGCTATTTATTTATATTATCTAATTTAATACTCACATCAACTCTAAAAGTTATCCCTGTTTTATGGAACATGAAACAAAGACAGAACAGCTCCTGGAAAAATTAGCTAGTTTATGTCACCTTTGACATACAATACAGGGAACAGAAAGCAGAAGTCTTACTAGCTTTAGGTATCAGAGTTCAAAAAGTCAAAGATGGCACAGCAACTAGAAAGTTATAGGAGGAACTCCAGAAGCAATGAACCACTAAGAACCCCAAAACCTGAGAATAAACTTTGCCCAAAGCCTTGTGTGACTAATGTAACACACAGACACAGGAGAACTCTCCAAAGAACCAGGCAGAAAAAGTAGCAACTAGAAGCACAAAAACCCCTAAACATCAGCTACTGCATACCATGGATTTACAGTTTGAGTTCAAGCAAGTTAACTGCATACTAAAACAAGAAAACCTACACTTCTCAGAAAAACAAAGCAGTGTCTAGAGAGTAAACATTCTATCTACAATGTTCATAGCATCATTATATACCTTAGGTAGGACGGTCAATAAAGTGAAGGATGCATGAGAAAATTATGTGTTGTAAGGCAAGTCAGAACAATAGAAACAAATACTGGACATTTATGTAGCAGGCAATTCAAAGCATTTTAAAATGCATGGATAACATAAAACACTTTCAAAAATTAGCAGACATCAATAATCACTATGAGGGCTCTGAGGTTAAGAGGGAAGTGGGAGGGAAAGGGACAAGGGGCTAGTTATAAGGGATGACGGTGGGAAAAATAATTTTAAAAGCAGATTCTGGATACCAAAAGAAAACATTCTAGTTCTTTCTATATATTACCTACAATGTCTAGTTTTCAATTTAAAAGTTACTGGATATGAAAAGCTACATGAAAGTACAACTCTTACTCAGAGAGAGAAAAACAATAGAAACTGACTCCAAGTGGGCCTACATACTAGATTTGGCAGTTAAACTGCCAAAACTTCAAAGCAGTTATTATATTTAACCTTCGAAGTTAATAAAGTCCAAATAAATAAAGAAAAACTCAGTATTAATTAAAGGAGAGCTAGAGAATTTCAATGGAGATACAGAAACTAAGAATCAAAGAAAATTGTAAAGCTAAAGAGCACAATTCACTAGCCAGGCTCAATAACAGGAATGAAATGACAAGAAGAAAGAATCCAATCTAAAAAATACAGAGGAAAAAAAATTGTTTAAATAAAGAACATAGCTTCAGAGGCACAGATATAGTCCAATATCAAACAGTCCAACAATTGCACTAAGTGTAAATGGACTGAAGATTCAAATCAAAAGGCAAAGACTGTGAAAGTAGTTAAATAGGAAGAACCAATTATATGCTGTCCAGGAGACCTACTTTAACTACAAAGATAGACTGGAAGTAAAGAGATGGGGGGAAGTACATTGCAAAACAGTCAGCATAAGAAAGTTAGAATACTACACTAATATCAGACAAAATAGATATTTAAGTACTAGGAATATGTCACTAAAGTCAAAGAAGGACATTTCATAACAATGAAAGAGTATATCAGTCAGTGAGATATAACAATTATGAATGTATTAATAGAGTTCCAAAACACATGAACTATAAGTACAAAGAGATAAATGAGCAAGTATAGCTGGAGGTTTTAACAATTGTCTCCCTAATGATGAAATAGGAGGGAAGAAAAATCAATATTGATGTAGAAGACTTTAACACTATCAACCAACTTGTCATTTATACAATATTCAATATAATGGCAAAATATACACTTTTTCAAGCACACATGGAAGAGTCATCAAGATAGACAACATAGGGCCTCCCTGGTGGCACGGGGATCAAAGACTTAGCTAGCCACTGAGGCATAGTTCCATCCTGGCCACATGGCACAGCAGACCTCTCCTGTCTCGCCCGCTGCTCCTCTCAGCAGCATATTTCAGTTAATCTGCCCGTCCTGCTCCCCACTCTGTCTCTGGTGAATCCTCTCACCCCTGCACCTCTGGCCTATTCCCCAGTTCTTGTATGCATAAATAAATAAAATAAATCTTTAAAAAAAATAGACAATGTGCAGGGAAAGATCATTTTTCAATAACTGAAAAGGACTGAAATCATACAGACTATGCTCTTTGAAAAACAAACACTAAAAGTTTCTCATTACAGAATCACAAGGCTAGTCAGTCACAGGACTTTATCTTCAATAATTATTAAATCCAGATACCCTTCTCCCCAGGGTATTTGCAGAGCCTAAACGACAGGGAGGAAAGGATTCTATGAAAGAAATCCTTTCAGGCTTTAATATCTCAGGAAATGAAATATATTTTTAGTCTTCTGCTCTAGTATTCCTGATTTTTTTTAATTTACATGTATTTTACATCACTGTTCATTTGTAAACAATGTTTGCTTCCCTCCCCCTCAGGTGTAGTCCCCATAGAATTTCCTTCGCCAATGCACTGGTGCACCATCACCTCAGTCTCCTGTGCTCCTCCCTCCCTCTGATCCCTCTCCCTCCTCCTCCCCTGCAGGATGCTCTGGTTTATAATTGTCTGTTTTTATTTTTTTTTTTGTTTTATATTGTTATTATTTTCCTCCCCTGATGTCTTATTTGGTTCCCCTATATTCCTCCTATAAGTGAAATCTAGTATGCCTGATCTGAAGCCATTACTGAGGCTAAAGCATCCAAGCCACATATTGCTCTGAAATATGCAATCTGTAATTCTTTAAAACTTCCAATGTCAGATTATTGTGTTTTAGACTCTGTGGAATCTATGGTAATCATACAGTTTTTACAAATAGGAACTATAATTTTGATCCTAAAATCAAATGAGTATAGCTTAAAGCTAAGATTAAAAGAATTAAAAATACAGTCGTTGGCTTGAACTTGCCTGTCTTTATAGAATCACTGACATCTCCAGAGGCTTTAAATTCACATATTACTAAGTAGCAGAAACTGGTTGTGTTTGTGCATGCACACAGGTACATTTGTGGGGGTGAAGTGTCAAGGAAAAAATAGATCTAGATGTGCCACATTAGGATAAGATGATAATCGATAGCCTAAATTGACAAACTATATTTCCTGTGTCAGATTTGGCCAACAGCCCATAAATAATTTTTTATTGGAACATAGTTATGCATTCATTTACAAAATACCTATGGTTGCTTCTGTGCTATAACAAGGGTTGAACAGTTGTGATAGAGACCACAAAGCCCGCATTTACTACCTGGCCCTGTACATGAGTTCATGAACCCCTAATTTAAAGCAAAGATGGATTACTCAAGGTGAATTATGTATTAGGAAACAAATATTGAGATAGTAGAAGATTATTATTAGACTAACAGAAAAAGAAAGTTACATTATTTATTTTAAAATTACCCAAAAAACATACAAAATAGCTATATAAATTTTGTAAATTTAAAACAAATTAAACATGATTTAACAAAGGTCTACATCTGAGAAAATACCCAGTTTCTCACCTGATATTTTGGTGCATTGTTACATTGTGGAAAACTGCCATTGACTTCTCCATTATGTAGCAGATTATTGTCCACTAGATTCCAGCCCCAACTCTGGTCATCACTGCCTAGCAACGCCACATAACCTTGGCACTGCATGGGGGCCCGCTTCGTGGCAATTCCAATCACTGCCACAGTGCCTAGAGGGCCCTCCCACCACACTTCCCAAGCATGGCGGCCTTCACTGAAACCAATCTTTGTCCTTGCACCATCAGTGCTCTGAGCTATGGGGTTTCGATGTAAAGTAAAGCCATTCTTCTTAATGTAGACATTCCTGGAGCAGTCATTAGTGCTGAAGGCATGTTGGAAAGCGCGTACCTGAAGAGATGAAAAACAGATCAAAGAAACAGAATTTTGATTTTTCTCAAACATTAAGAAGTACATAAGCTTTCAGGTTATATGCTTTTAAACAACAGTTTATATTTCGATAATACAAGTATTTTTTAAAAAATGGTTCAAGTATCAAGATGGCATACTAATACTAATTTATTACGGCATACATAATAAATTATATATAATTAAAAATAGCTGCCAACTGTTTCATTATTGACCAAATTCTATACCATAGTATAAGTCCTCCAAATAGACTTCTTATAACATCAAAAGATAAACACAAGAATCTCTGTATTTCAGAGATAATACTGAGATGTTCATGAATGACATGACAACATCTGGGACTGCTTTGAAACATCAAGGGATGGAGCAGGAGAGTAAGTGGGGCAAACATGAAACTAGGTTGCCCATGATCACTGGTGAAATTTGGTGATGGATATAAAAAGGATGTTCATTAAATTAATTTTCTACTCTTATTGACATTGGATATTTTTATATTAAAAATTAAGAAATGTTCAATTTTCATGCTGGCAATGCTATTACCAAAAAGCATTATATTTTAAGTAAAATAGAGAATTTAGTTCCAGCAGCTCTGAAATTTATGAAAAAATTTAATAACCACAAACTATCTTAGATTCTCAGCCTCCCTGCAGGGAATTATTCATACACATAGACATCACCACTCTCATTTTACCGAACCACGTAATCTGCCAGATAGAATCTAAATTCCATCATTAGAATTTATAAGAAAATAGGGCCTCCCCGGTGGCGCAGCGGTTGAGCGCTGGGTTGCGAGGCTGCCTGCAGCCTCTGTGGTGCTGGTTCAATCCCCGGCTGATCCCTGGCTGTTCCCCAGCCACCGGAGGAGGGTCCCACATGGTGCGCAGACCTCTCCTGCCGCCCGCTGCTCCCCTCAGCAGTGTACTTCGGTCCTTCTGCCTGCTCTGCTCCCTGCTCTGGTGAATTCTGTCACCCTCCCGGTCTTCTGACTGTACCCAGTGCATGTATAAACAAACAAACAAACAAACAAACAAACAATAAATAAATAAATAAAACCATGCCTCTTTAAAAAAAAAAAAAGAATTTATAAGAAAATAGTCACTAAGAGCAGCTACCATTGGCAGGACTGGCTAAATAACCCTCAGTAATTTTAGTTTCTTAAGCTTCCAAAGTTGAGGACAGTATGAAAATTGCTACTCTGTAGAATAACAATTTCTCCTACTTTAATAATTTAAAGCTTTTGGTATGTTGTTGTTTTAATCCCCTCTTTACTTTATTCAAACTACCTAAAAGCAGTGAAGGCTGGGACTATTGCTTTAGTTAAACTGAGAAATCAACTCCAGAATCATATAATTTCATCATTAAGAAGGACCTTAGAGATGACTTGGTACTTAGGAATAAGCATAAAATGTACAGTTAGTATAGAGTCCCAAAGAGAAGTATCCAATCCCCTCATCCAGTGTTCATTAGCTATTAGCCAGCAGTTCACTATTTCACTGTTGCACTACAAAGCAGAGAGATGTTTTGAAAAACAAAAATAAAAAATCTGCTTGCTTCAGATAGCCCATGTTTTCATGAGGAAACTGTAAAACTAAAGTATTCCTAAATTTTTTCCTATTTGTCCTACTAGGTCCTTTTAAGCACCTAAAAGATCAGAACATAGGATTAAATGGGGAAGTAAAATGTTCCTCAAAAATATTGAGTGTTGCCTAAATAACAGCTCAAGAGATTACTCTCAAGAAATTAATTCCTCATTACAAAAACATTTGATACTTACCTGTGTCTCATCCCCAAATCTTATAAATACCAACAGCTTTTTTCTTTATCCTTATTCTCCTGTTATTTTACCCACATTGATACTGCTTACATCTCCCTATTATCCTATTGAATCCTCTCTTGGTGACCATCCTATCTCTGCCAACTCAAATTCTCCAGAAGTCAGTCCTTAGCCCTATACCTGAATTCTTTCCAGACCTGTCTTTTTAAAACAGCACCATTATTATATTCCATCCCAGTTCAACAAACTTTGATTATTTCTATATTGACTATCCTATTGACTGTAAATTCTTCTGCCCAGCTTTTGAACCCCAGATCTGGTTCCTCCTATTTCACTTTCTAACTTCATGTTGTTCTCCTTGTCTTTTCTATTATACCTACTTTCTTCCTCCCACATATTCTTTTAAGCTCCAGTCCTACCACCTTGGTGAATCTATTCTCAACCAGGGAAACCCAATCCCCCTGATTTCTCTCTCCTGAATTCCTACCCACTCTCGTCTATACCAACATTTCTGTACACAACCCAGGCACTTAATTCTAATAAACAAAAAAATCTTAGAAAAAAAATAATCTAACCTACACTGATCAAACCTCTATAGGAAATATAGGCAGAAAAGCATGCTAAGCATCACCATGGAAATTGAATCAGATAAACTCCACAGGGTAAACTCCCCGGTTTAAGTTGCAGGGTGGAAGGTGGAGGAGATGGTAGATGACTCTGCAGACCAAAATAGTCTTAAAAGATATATCAACTCTTTGTCGTAGAAACCTTTAAAAGAATGTTTTTTAAAGATTTATTTGTTTGCATATAAGAAACTGGGGTGTAGGCCATGGGTGCGGGGGTGGGGGGAATGTAAGAGGATTTACCAGAGACAGAGTAGGGAACAGAACAGGCAGATTGACTGAAATACACTGCTGAAGGGAGCAGCAGGCAAATCAGGAGAGGTCTGCTGCTCCATGCGGGTAGCTTCCCAGCCAGTGGGGGAATCAAACTCATGCTGCAGAGGCTGCGAATAGCTTCGTAGTGCTGAGACTTAACCCCTTGTACCATCAGGGAGGGTCCTAAAAGATCATGATTAAATAGGGCCTCCCCGGTGGCGCAGCGGTTGAGCGCTGGGTTGCAAAGCTGCCCGCAGCCTCTGCAGCACTGGTTCCATCCCCGGCTGCTCCCTGGCCACTGGAGGAGGGTCCCACATGGCGCGCAGACCTCTCCTGCTGCCCGCTGCTCCCCTCAGCAGTGTGCTTCGGTCCTTCTGCCTGCTCTGCTCCCCGCTCTGGCTCTGGTGAATTCTCTCGCCCTCCCGCACTTCTGACTGTACCCAGTGCTTGTATAAATAAATAAATAAATCTTTAAAAAAAAAAAAAAAAAAAAAAAAAAACAGAATACTGCTCAGAGGGCCCTCTGGGTACAGGACACTTTAAAAAAAAAAAAAAAAAGATCATGATTAAATAAACTGAAAATAAAAAATATAATATTGGACATTTATAAGACAATTAGAAATTTGGTTACCATATTTCTTAATATTAAGTAATTATAAATTTCTTTATACCTTAGATGTTAATGAGATTATATTATTATGTTATATATCCTTTATCTTTTAGAGATACTGAAAATTTCAGGAAAAATAGAAAAATAAATATACAAATTAGTGAAAATAAATACAGAAATTAATAAATAAAAACAATTTATAGCTCCTGTCTCAGTCTCAGGCACAATCTGGATTTTATATTACAGAAGAGTTTTACGATCTAGTCTAGTATCTAAGTCTGAGGTTTAGAAAATTATAGTTAGATGCCAAGTATGACCAATAATATTGATGTTACTTAGTAGTAAAACATAATAAAGTTTTTGAAGAAGACAAGTCTTAAAGAGACTGACAACTCTAAACACTTCACAATTATATGCTACCCCAAATCCGTTCCCATCCATTTCCATTACCCAGGCTTCCTGGAAATTCTAACTGAATTTCCCACTTACCTTACCAGCTCTCTTATGTATTTGGTGGCTCTATTCCTTGCTATAGCTCTCCAGCCATCCCCTTCTCTTCTCTATACACTTATTTCAGGTCCTAAGTCACTGGTATAGACACTAACCCTTGCCCTCTCCAATTCATCTCAAGGCCCAGTTTTTCTAAATCACAGTTCTTATTTTGTCACTCCTCTGCTCAAACTTCCGTAGTTGCCAACTGTAAAACAAAGCCCACACCACAGACTTTCATGATATATCTAGTGTCAGCTTACCTTACAGGCATACTTCCCATTACTTCTCTTCAATTCAAGCTAACTAAACTATTTCATATATTTAAGCCTCTCCTTGAAGCTCCAAACTATATCAGAGGCCTAACTGAAATATCCTGGATGTCTCAAACACACCGTAAATTCTACCAAACTGAACTCATAGTTATTCCTCCAAAATGTAGGGGATCCCTATGTTAAGTAAGTCAGATACCTAGCAGTTCATCCTTAACACCTCCCTCTTGGTCACCCAATTTCAAATCTATTGCCAAATCCTGTAGGTTTTACATGCTAAATCTCTACTATATTTCTCCACGTCCTCCACCACTTACTTTCTAGTTGATCTACTCTTATTTCCTCTAAGCCCCCACCCTCCAACCTGATTTAGGAGATTAGGAATAACCTCTTAAAAAATGCAAAACAATCATATCACCAATCCTCACACTCCTAATTCCTTCTTGCTAATAATTCAAAATGGCTTCCCTATAGTTTGGCCCCAACACACCTTTTCCACCTTATCTCAAATTCACCTTACCTTTTCTGATTATACCCAGGCCACTCCTCAGGTTCCCTCCTGGAAGGCTGTTCTCTCCCCTTAGCCTAATTATCCTATCCTTCAGTTCACACTTTATTTCCTCAAAGAAAGCCTTCCCTGACTTCCCTACTTGGTCAAATTCTCCATTATTCATATTTACAGCACTATGTGTCTCTCCTTCATAGTACTTACCACAAATGCAACTTTACAACTGTGTGGTATTTGATTAGTATCACCCCCCACACCCCCAATCACCACAACCCATTAGATTGTAAGTTTCATAAGGCAAGAAGGCATCCATAGTTAGTTTCCTCTTGTCCTGATTTTATTTCCTCTTAATGAAATGTTCAAGTCCTCCCCATCTTTAAAATTCAGTTGAAATACAACCTGAACTTCAAACCTTCTCCATTCCTCCACTCAACTTGCAAATCTCTTCATTCACTGAACTTCTAATATATATTTATTTATATCTACAAGTGTAGTTATTTACATGCATCATTTTCTCTTCTAGACTGATGAATTTCTTACTAAGTTATGTCTCCTTTCAAAATAAACTTATCTTCAAAATATTCAAGGAAAATCCTGTGACATCTGAATGAACATGTGATTAGTACAAGTCTATAATACCTATAGCACATGTAGTAGAAAGACACACAAAGCATTAAAAACTTAAGAAATCTAAACTACTGCTGGAAGGATACAAAAGAACACAGTTGCCTCCAAGAAGGGAAACTGGGTAGCTGGGGGACACGTGCAAAAAGAAGACATTTTGCTTTATACCACTGTTTCTTTGAATGTTCACTCACATGAACACACTATCACATATAGTAAGAATCTTGAATCATGTGAACATATCCATTACAGACTAATTACAAAAATATCCTGAGCTTAAGTAAAAATAGTAAAATTTTAATGGAAAAATAAAAATGAAATAAAACTTATGAAACCTACATTTTTATCAGACAGAGTAAGGCAAAATTGCAATCTTCTTCATTCTACTATCCATCTAGTATCCATTGAGCATCATGTACAAATATTGTTATAGTAAATGAACATGCTTTTTCACTTAATAGAAAAACAACTTGCTTAATAGAAAAACAACTTGGCTGACATATTTAATAGCGATGCTTTTTATTAAATTAAAACCAGTTTTATTACGTAAGAACAATTTTACCTCTATTTCACAAGAGAAAAAATTTACTCTGTCACCCCCACGGCCCTTGGCAATCTGTATTAAAATGGGATACTTTCCCTTATTAGTTTTTAATGTAGTTTGTTTACCACATTCTAGGTTACACTTTATGTCCTCTTGTATGTGCTCTTCGTGACTGCTTAACTGATTGACTGTTACCCATCCAAAAGAACCCAAGTCTCCGACTTTTTGTTTATATTACCTGAAGAATTCTCTCAGCTTACCATAACCTGTTTCTTGACATTTTTATTTGTATATGAAGAAAAGAGCAATACATTTAAGAATCTAAAAGGGGCAAAACAACAACAGCAAAACTGGAAATAACAAGTAACATGCCTAACAGGAGACACGCCATCAAAATGGAATTATGGAAAAGTTGGCAAGAAAGTAGTCAATTACAGTGGAGCAAGGCAGTATTATGACGGTTAAGTGGTGCCGATGGGAAGATGTCCTATTAAACCCTGTGTCTTGAAAGTTAACAGAAAGCCTAGGACCTCACTTATAAGCCTGAAGCATAGTGGAGGGAATTAAAAAGAACTTGCATGAATATAAAGAAAAAATGATTAAAAATCAGAACCTGCCTGGATAAGAGCGGTGAATGTGGGGTGAGAGAAAGGACCTTAGACCTTAAGCCCACGTTAAGGCAGCCGAGATGATCTAATAAAGCCTATGGGGCGGGGGTGTCAGAGAGACAAATAGGATGAGAGTACTGAAAGGCACAACAATGGGAGTGGCCTGTTTTTAGGGAAAAGACTCTAGAAAGTAGAATAAGAGATGGAAACCAAGGTTTGGAACCATGTGGTCGTTTACAGTGTATTGCTTTAAAGCGGGGTGAGCCTAAAAGGAGAACTTCAAAAAGAAGAGGATGGGAGGTTGAGGTGAGGTGTAGACTGGAAAGATGGAAAGGTGGGATGGTGAGGCAAGGCGTCTTACTCAGAATCTCAGAAAAGCAGCGATGAGAGCGGCGCAAAGGAGCGGGACTGGGGGCTCCCTCACCTTGGCCTTGTAGCTGGGCAGGTTGCAGAGGATGTCCGTGCGTAGAGCCTCTTCTGCCAGGCTGCGGGCGCACAGGCTCCGCCACACCTCACTGTTTTCATCGCCGTGCAGGCAGCGGTACCAGTGCTTGCACACCAGGGCGCAGCTCCGCAGCTCGGACAGCTCCAGGTAGGAGAACACCAACTCCAGGACCCGGCTGGGCAGCCGACCCCCGGCCCCCACCAACCCAGAGCCCGAGCCGGCGCCCGCGCCGCCGCCGCCGCTACCGCCAGCGCCGCTCGAGGATGCCCCAGCCCCCGGGGCCGGCGCCGCCATCGCCTCACCAGCCGGCCCGCGGGCCGCCGCCGCCACCGGCGTTTCCCCACGTCTCTGCTCCGGAGGCCAAACCTCGCCTGGAGACGCGAGAGGCTGCCTCACCGCCCCTTTCAGTCTACCTCCCGGCCCCTCGCCACTCCCGCCCCTGCCCGGGGGCGTCCGCCGCGCGCCCCGCCTCACTGAGGGCAGACGCACCGGCCGCGCGGGCGCCTCCGCCCCTCCCCCGCGGTTCAGCGCGGGCGCCGGAACCGCCCGACTCGCACGGCCTCCCCGCGGCGCGCCCGCGGCTCCGCCATGCGGGTTGAGGGCACGAAGCAAGGGCGTACGCCCAGCTCGCTCGCGGTTCCTCTCGCCCCGGATGTGACTGTTTGGCTGCGGCGCCTCGCGTCCTGGTGCAGGAGCGATTGGGCGCCCGCTGGTGAGGTCATCACGAGGCGCCGTGCTGGGAAGCGGGAAGCGCAGGTAGGAGGCTGCGGCTGGTGCGTTCCTGGCTGTCCTTCGGTCCTCTTTCCAGTTTCTGGTCCAGTGGCTCCGCCTCGGCTTTCTTGGGTCCCCTTTCCTTTGCTATTTCCCAGTGTCCGTTAGATTCCTGTTTCAGACTAAGGCATGAAACTGCCCCTTCCTTTCGAGGCAGTTGCTAGCTCCGCCACCTGCTGCATGGATTGGAACTTCTTTCCCTACCTCTGCCCAGGCGGCCTTTTCCTGGTCAGGTCCTCTGCCCGAGTACGGGTTCTTTTCAGAACCTGTGTCCCATCGTAGATCCGAAGAATGAGGTCGCCACATTTGAACATCCCTCCCAACCCACTTAAAGTACGGTTTAAGTGCTACATTCTGTAAAATGTGTGGCCTTTCCAGCCTTTCGTACTACTAGCCCACTGATTAATAGGAAAATTAAGGCAGTGTGCTTGTCTTTAATTAAAAATTCCAAGAGTGAAACTAATTAGTGGAGGCTATAATTATGGATGGCTTTTGGAATGGAAGACTTTCAACATTATTTGCTCATACTGCGTTTTCTTAGGTGGCCCCAAAAGTTTTCTGACAGCCTTTAACAGTGCTTAGAGAAAATAATAAAACAACTAAATGAGATAGGTAATTATTATAATAATAGGATTTACAGGTTCCTTTAGTAGTCAACTCCACTGTCTTAACCCTCATGGAATAGGAAACCTTTCCCGAAGCTTCCCTGCTATGTATAATGCATTTCTCCTTCTGCAGTCAAAACAAAAGAACCACCACCTTCTCCACTCTGATGTATGGTGTACTTGCTTGTCCCTTCTTCCGAGGTCATTTTCTCCAAGCTTAGTAACAAGGATTCTGTTCATTTTCATTAATGCTAATGCCACAGCCCTTCAGTCATTTTGGTTGCTCTCCAAGTTCGCCACGTCAAAACCAACTTTGGAAAATCCAAATGTAAAGAAAAACTGACCTTTCTTTATTGTGATAATAGTGACTCATATTTCTTAAATATAGAATTCAAGTTAATTGAGTGTAACTTCTGACTAAGGAAGTTTTATTCGTTATTTATCTTTCACCTTTTAACCATTGAACATCTAGGAAAGAAGAACCAAGTTTTGTCTGGAAAGGTAGTTATGTTTGTTTTAAATCTTCCAGGATAAGTAAAGTTGATCCAGCTGAGAAGAGGTTAGAGAAACAGGCAGGATGAACAGCTTTGAAGGCACAGAAACTTGAAAAGTTAAAGCAAGTACATCAAAATATGACTAGAACATAATGTTTAAAGATTATTCAGATGTTAAAGACCTTTATGCTGTCTATCATCGTATAAGTGAGGTATAGAGCCTATGAAGGTTCTAATGAGATAATTCTGGAGCCAACTAATGAGGTGGCTTTCAGTCTCAAATTTCCAAGTGGTCCAAATAGAATTTCAAGGTAGGAAAGATTTCCTTTACCACTACACTACTACCTCCTTTTCATTCTACATACTTATCATTTGCTCACCCTCCTGACCATGACCCTCTTTGGTGTTCAGTTCCCTTGTTCTGATCTTTGACTCTTCAGAACTGCCAACTGCAGCCTCCCTTTCTAAAAATACTCTCAAAATACCCCACCTTTTCCTGTCCACGCCCTGATTTCATTAGATGTTGAAAAGAAGGACTCTATTACCTAATTAAAGTAATCACAATAGGATGTGATTAATTAATGTGCTTGACCCTTTTGGCTTCTATGAATGAGAGGAAAAATTTGTTAACTTGATACCTGAATGTGGGAATAGTATCACTTACCTATATCTGCTAGACATTTCAGCCCCAGTAATAGAAGAGCAAACAGTGGCTTGGCATCTCATTTCTGAAATTGTCATCATTTAACACCATTTTCTTCTACTACCTTCTCCCACAGCAGTTTGATGATTTAACACTCTTTGATGGAAGCCCTTGGTTGTATTTCAAATAATAACAATTTTAAATTTGTAGATTAAGTAAGCAAGTGATTTCTGGTTTTCTGATCAAATCACTGATCAATAACCTTCATGGTGAATATTGATTGACTAAACTTAAAAGCCTCAGAGTAAGGATTTCTGGAGTTTTCCCAGTATTCTCATTCCCCATAATAGGTCCTATTTTTATATTTTTAACTAGCTAGGTGATCAGTAGAGTGTAGACTTTGAAGTTGACTCATCATAGCAAGATTAAAAGGACATAAATGATCTGTATCCTAAAGATTCTAACAGATTTATTTGTAACTTATATTGTCTTGACAACAGTTAATTAAAATTTCATATTTTGAGGTAGAACGTTGTCTTTATCATATCATAATTAGTCACCAAAGATGATTCCTGCACCTAAGCAATAATACCTTTCATTCTAATTGTGTTATTAGTTCTTTTTACTTGGTTTATCTAGAACATTTGGCAAGAGTCTGTTAATGGTAGAAAATTATTCCAGTACTTGTCAGCAAAAATCAAACCACCAGGCTTCCCTGTCTTTACCTCCCTCTGAGTCATTTCCTCTGTAGGCCTCTTTAAAACCTGTTGGCTTCAGGCTCTAATTAGTTTCCTTTGTATAATAATTGAGTTCTACTGCAATGTATCTTTTTGTCTTTTTCCCATTTTGTTATCTTTATGAAGAGTATTCTCATTTTGTGATTTGTTGCTAAATTAGAAGGAAATAAGCTTTGTGTAAGGAATAGAAATTTTAGATAGGTTGCCATTTTAAAGTATTTTCAAAGCACTGTTAGGACATTTATCTCTGTATCATTGAACTAAAGTCAGATATCTTTTTTCCCCTGCCACCATCTTTTCTTTGTCCCTTTCCCTCCTCCCTGTTAATGTCAGAGCCCTCAGAATGTTTATTGATGTCTACTGGTTTTTTAAAGTGTTTTATGTTACAAAATGTCTGCTATGGGCCTCCTTGGTGGCACAAGGGGTTAAGTCTCAGTACTGTGAAGCTCTCTGCAGCCACTGTAGCATGAGTTCGATCCCATCCAGCCAGGGAGCTACCCACATGGCACGGCAGACCACTGCTGTCTCCCCCGCTGCTTCCCTCAGCAGTGTATTTCAGCAAACTGAGCGAATCTGCCTGTTCTGCTCCCCATTCTGTCTCTGCTGTATCCTCTCACCCTCCCTGCACCTCTGGCCTACACCTCAGCTCTTGTATGCATACGTAAATAAATCTTTTTTTAAAAAAAATCTGCAATGTAAATATCCAGTATTTGTTTTTATCGATCTGACTTATTTTGTTGTGCACAATTCTTTCAAATTCCCCCCATTTTATTGAAATTAATGCATTTATGCATTTCATCCTTTCCTATGGCTATATAATATCCCTTGGTGTGGCTATACCACACCTTCTTGATCCAGTCATCAACTGATGGACATTTATTCTGTTTCCATGTCCTAACTATTATAAAGCTGCTAAAAACATTGAGGAAAATGTGGGTGTTTGTTTGATGGATTCATAGTCTTTGGATAAATGCCCAAGAGTAGGGTTGCTGGATCATACTATGTTTCCATTTTCAGTTTTTTAAGATAAATCCAGATTGCTTTCCAAAGTGGATACAACTAATTTACATTCTCACCCACAGTTTAATAGGGTTCCTTTTTCTCCAGATCCTCTCCAGCACTTGTTGGGGGGTCTTTTTAATATGTACCATTCTCACTGGTGTAAGGGTGTATTAACCTCTCTGTCATATTAGAAGTGACAATGTTTTTCATGTCTTTTGCCCTTTTCAACATGCTCTTGTGTGAATAGTCTGTTCACATCAGCTGCCAATTTATTAATTGGGTTATTTATTTTTTAGTTGTAGTTTTCTATGTATCTTGGATATTAATCCCTTATCTGTTATATATTTTATAATAATCATTTTCTCCCATCCAGTAAGGTATCTTTTTCGTAGTCTTTATTTCACTGTACAGAAGCTTTTTAACTTGAGGTAATCCTAATCATTTCCTTTTGTTTTTAATTCTCTTGCCATAGAGGTCGATAAATTCAGGTCTCTTAATGTGAAAATAGTAAAGCAACTATGGCATTTTTTTCCCTAAACTTTTCCTTGCTTGTGAAGTGAAAAATTTGTATATATTTGTTTATTTCCTCTTGTCTAACCATTTAGAGGTGTGTAAATTGCCCTGATAGATATTTTTGCTTTGAGCATAGGCAGTTATGAGAGAGTAATATTATGCAGCAATTCCAGTTTATAGATGTTAGGTCTAGGATATTGAGAATCTAAATTGTGCAGTTTTTAAGTACTGTAGTTATATAAGAACAAGTAGGTGTTAATGTGATTAAAATGGGGGCCTCCCCGGTGGCGCAGCGGTTGAGCGCTGGGTTGAGAAGCTGCCCGCGGCCTCTGTGGCGCCGGTTCGATCCCCGGCTGCTCCCCGGCCACCGGAGGAGGGTCCCACATGGCGTGCAGACCTCTCCTGCTGCCCGCTGCTCCCCTCAGCAGTGTACCTTGGTCCTTCTGCCTGCTCTGCTCCCCGCTCTGGCTCTGGTGAATTCTCTCACCCTCCCGCGCTTCTGACTGTACCCAGTGCATGTATAAACAAAACAAACAAACAAACCAGCAAACAAATAAATAAAGCATGCCTCTATAAAAAAAAAAAAAAATGTGATTAAAATGGGGTGTGTGTGTGTGTAGAGAGAGAGAGAGAAGCAGTAATGAATTATTAGTAACTTTTGGTCAGTTTCTGTTCTTTCAAAGGATACTAACAAGTAAAATTATTGGAAAAGTCTTTGTTATTTCTAACAAGTTCTAAGTGATACTGATATTGCTAGCCTGGAGGCCATACTTTGAGGACCATTGGTGTATATACACCAGCTTGACCAGCCTAATAAAAATAGGGACACTGATAATGATAGTATTTGTTGAGTGCTTACTATGTATCCTCCATGATCCTCTGAAATGGGTGCTATTATTATTACTCCTACTTTATAGAGAAGGAAAGTGAATCATAGGAAGATTCAGTAATATCCGAAGTTACCCAACTAATAGAACTATTCACCCAGAGAGTTTAAGTCCAGAACTCACTCTCTAGAACATTATTCACATAATAAATTGATGATTGCTCAGTGTTCTCTTTAAAATATTTTTCCTAATTTAAAATAAATATAGTGTTTATTCTCAAGTGAGCCTTACATCAAAGGCCGGAGGAGGACCAGACTTACCTGGGTCCCTTAATGCAAGAGAAGCCCATTTAGGCATGTGCCTGCCCACTACACTATAAGCCAGTGTTAAACTAGGCTTTTGTAGATGTCATTTTCAAATGCCTGTCTTTATTGATTGCATTTTCTATATGTCTAAAATATTTAATTATCTTGCTTACTGAATTTGTCTTCTACTGTCAAGTTCTTATATAAAATATGAGATTATAGTTTCCCTCCCCCACCTCTTCACAGAGTCTTCTGAGCCATTATGGCAGTCAAGTGGACTGGTGGACATTCTACTCCTATTCTCTGCCTGAATGCAAGTCAAGAAGGGCTGGTAGCTTCTGGAGCAGAGGGCGGAGATCTCCACCTCTGGGGTGAAGATGGGACTCCGTTGGGACACACACGCTTCCAAGGGGCTGATGATGTTACCAGTGTTGTATTCTCTCCCTCCTGCTCCACCAAGCTCTATGCTTCACATGGGGAAAACATTAGCATACTGGATGTCAGGTCTCTCAAAGGTTCCCTGGACCATTTTCATGTGAATGAAGAAGAAGTCAATTGTCTTTCATTGAATGAAACTGAAAACCTACTGGCTTCTGCTGATGACTCCGGGGCAATCAAAATCCTAGACTTGGAAAATAAGAAAGTTAGCAGATCCCTGAAGAGACATTCTAATATTTGCTCCTCTGTAGCTTTTCGGCCTCAGAGACCTCAGAGCCTGGTATCATGTGGACTGGATATGCAGGTGATGCTTTGCAGAGAGTTCTTGGGTAATTTCTAAATGGGATTTGCTAACAGAATTAAGTTATTGATTAAGCTAAATGTATCTGTATGTTCTGTTATGTAATAACATGTTTTACCTATTTACCAAACATTAGCTTTACTTCTACTGCATGTTTACTGGTAACCTGACAAAGGCTGCTAGATTTTATTCACAAAGTAATCATTAATCATTTAGTCTTCCTTTCACTTTGCTTTAAGACAAATGGGTGTTTGGTTCTAAACATCTGTTGAAACAAAGAGGCATGCTTAAGTCAAAGTTTATTACCTACTCTTTCCAAATTGTTTTTTTAAAGAAAAAAGGTTGAAGGATTGTTTTTATGTTAAAATTCAGGGGTGCATTAATTAAAATATTGTGTACTGATAATCAGGATCAGAGCATTGTATTCAATGCTGAATTTCGAAAGGAACATTGGCACTTATCCCAAATGCAGAAAAAGGCTGCCAGGGGAGTGTATGTGTATATATGCGTGTGTGTGTGTGTGTATGTGTATGTATTTATATATATATACACACACCACACTGTGCTATGTAGGGGAATTTGAGGTGATAAAGTAAAATTTGCTGGTTTAAAAAGTTGGGCTCACTCATAGCAGGAATTTAGAAAACCTAAATAAGAGACCAGGAAAAAGACTAATCAATACAAAGTAAAATTCAAAATCAGCAAGCAACTATAAACCAGAGACACACTGGGGGGGGAGGGGCGGAGAAAGGAAGGATGAGAGTCAAAATAAGGGGGGGGGGGTGCAATTGTATGGGGAATATAACCAAAATGAAAATGCATACATTGTGCAAAGATAGAAAAAGATGTAAGAATTATATAAAATAAAATATTTAAATTAAAAAATAAAATAAAAAGTTGGGAAACTGTTTAAATAGCTTGACTTTCCCACTGTGTATTTGCTTCCACTTGAAAGTAAATCTCTTGGGCCTCCCCTGATGGCGCAGCAGTTGAGCGCTGGGCTGCGAAGCTGCCCTCAGCCTCTGCAGCACCGATTTGATCCCCAGCTGCCAGTGTGGGTCCCACATGGCACGACAGACCTCTCCTGCCAGGACCACTGCTCCCCTCAGCAGTGTATTTCTTCGTCAGTCTGCCTGTTCTGTTCCCCACTTTGGCTGTGGTGAATTCTCTCACCTTCCCGTGCTTCTGACTGTACCCAGTGCTTGTATAAATAAATAAATAAATCTTAAAAAAATAAAGAAAGTAAATCTCTTATCAGTGAAGTGAGAGTAATCATGGCTTCTCTTTGGTGAGCACTTAGTACTTACCAATGATTTACATACATGAATTTTCATTCAAGTCACACTCTGATAGTTACTATTTCTTTTTTAGCAATGAGATTCAAATTGTGTCCACACAGCTGCCTGAATTGGAATTGAAACCTCAATCTCTCTGAATCCAAACCCTATCATTTTTTCCTCTAGGATATCACAGAATTGATTGTCAAGCAGGATATCATCACTAATAAGTTTTCTTTTTAAGGTGTTGGCTTCAGAACAACTAACTTTTAGAAAAAGAACCGTTTTTTTGGTTTTTAAAGATTTATTTATACAAGCGCTGGGTACAGTCAGAAGCACGGGAGGGTGAGAGAACTCACCAGAGCCAGAGCGGGGAGCAGGTAGACAGACCGAAGACACTGCTGAGGGGAGCAGCGGGTGGCAGGAGAGGTCTGCACACCATATGGGACCCTCACCTGCGGCCAGGGATCGAACCGGTGCTGCAGAGGCTGCGGGCAGCTTCGCAGCCCAGCTCTCAACCTCTTTGTCACCAGGGAGGCCCAAGAACCGTTTTTTTAAATTAATGACTTGTGTACCTAACACTTCTCAGTATTTAGTCGATAGTATTAACTATACAGAGATCTTCTAAGAGGGATTCTTTTAGTAGTATCAAAGGTTTTGTCTTTACACCTTCTTGGCCAGTGGTCTTTACCAGTCCCTCTTCTGCCCTCCACACCCCCTCGTAATTTAGAATAAATGAGACTGGGTATTGTTGTTGTCAGCTGTGAGTGCTTCCCGTACAGGTGACTAACATTTAGTAGGCAGAATCAGTGGATGTCCTTTAGTGTGAAGACAATCCTTAAAAAAATAAAGAATATCCAGAAATATCTATATTGTCTCTATTGAGAATCATCTTATACTTAGGGGATAGTGATCCTGCAACCTCTAAAGTTGTTTTTCACTCCTTGGTCTTGACCAAACCCTTTATAAAGCTACATTTTTTTAGTGGTAATAATCTGTCTGCTTGGTTGTACAGAATCACCCTCAAAACCAGACATTTGTTTTAAGTAGAAGGTCCAATTTCTCTCTGTCTAGTCATTCTTTCATCCTTCTTCTATACCACTTTTCAATCACTGGCTCGTTAACCCCTAGACGTGACAGTAGACAGTTAAGTGTGCAAAAATGACCTGTATTCGTATTTGGTAAGAAATGGGCATCCAAAGTTTACTATTTTGCCTCCAGTTCTAGGCCAGAAGTTTTAGTGTCAGGCAGCTGCTGGAAAACAGTATAGGAAATAGTTTGTGAAAGGAGGGGTTAGGTCATTGTCTTTTTTAATTGGGGGGGTAGGGGTTGGTTAGGGAATTATTTATTTGACTGCCCAGAACTGCTAAAAATTCACTGTAGATCACCTTCTGCCCTGGGTTATGATATAATACAATAAGACAGGACAGCCATACTTTTAAGAAATTACTTCCTTAACTGACATTGTAACCACTTTACTTTTTAGATCTTGTTATCCAGTATTCTAAAGTTTAAGAATAGTTGGCCTATAGGGCAGTCCAAGAATGTAGACAGAATAGTTTTTTCTTTATCAGGTCAATTTTGAGAGTTATTTCTGAGCAAATGCATTGTGTCTCAAGGTAGGAATTGAATTTCTGCCACACTCTAAATATGTTTAACACAACTATGTGTTGTAGAAATTATAAAAATAATATCCTTTTATTTAGATAGGTTTAAATAATTAGGCAAAGCACACTCAGAGGCAATGACCTTAAGTACTTGAGATGGTTTGATTTTTTTTTAAATAGGTCCAGAATGATTATAGTGTCAAGTACAAAGAAATATTAACTAAATGCCTCTATCTCCACCAAATACAGTTTTTTTCTTGTGAAGACATTTGGAAATTTGAAACCATCATATTTCTGTAACATACATATTGATTCTTTTCCCCCTCATTTCTGTATCTGAAAATAAATGTTTCACACATTTATTCTTTTTGGAGTTTGAAAGATCTCTAATATTAACACAAGGAGCAGGATGGTGGAGGAGGCTTTTTTTCCTTGAAAATGAATCTTATGTGGGAAGAAGTGTTGTGCAGGGAGAAATTTCTTAGCAGGATCACTTAATATGATTGCATTAACTTTTGAACATTTACCAGTTGTCCATTTTCTCCCTTTGACATTTTATAGGACCATTAATCCCAAACTCTTGTATTCTTTTTATTCAGTATCTCTAGCTCTCTTGCATAGGAAGATATTACTTGAAAAGGTGGTTGAGAAATTCCAAGTATGAAACATTGTGGAATCTTTGGGAGTTAAGAAAAGTAAAGAAGTACAAAGAGAACAATCTGAAAATCTTCAATACTTGTAAATTATTGAATTAGTAGGCTCTCTCATGATTAGTAATACATTTAGATGATTTTAGTAAGTACAACAATGTTTAAGCTGCTGAAAGCATTTTAAATATGGTTTATGTTTGGATGTTTTAGAAGTAGCAGGAAATATCACCCAGACTGTGTGAAAAAGAACTCGGGGATACCTACCAATACACAAGCTAGCAGATTCCAGAATGGACATAAATGTCCGTTCATTTATGTTATATTTTCTGATACTATTTTATTTTAATTTATTTCAATTTTATAGTATTTTGGCTTCACCCAAATGGTGATAGCTGGCTACCTGGTATAATGTTACAAATTCCATCCAAAAGGATTTTCAGTGCGTTCCCTAGTAGAAGAAGAGTATAAATATTAATAGATGTCACTTTGGAAAGTCAGCTGAGTTGAGGGAAGTTACTTTGAATAAAAAACCAAATCCTTAATATCATCTGTAGTATTATCGTGTCAATTAGATCTGTCTAAACAAGGTCATGCTTATCCTAGTGTCCATTTTAAGTGGGTGAGTCATAATTTGGGGATAAAACAAGGTGGCAAAATAAAGCTGTCTCTTCTCTTTGAAAGTACTGAGACTATTTTCCTTTCTACTTGGTTGCTATAGGAAGAGAATGAATCACTAGATTATAGTGTAAAATCTTTTCACAAAGCTATTATTTTGTTTTAAACAGGTTTAATTAATATTTTGTTTAAATCGGTTTAATAGGTGCAAGATCATTGGAATTTCTGATCTTTTCCCATTATGCGAGGCATTAGCAAAGATGAATTAAATTCCAAGGAACTGACAAAATAGTAATATGTGTCAATTAATAGAATAGGAATTAAATATGGGAAAGAGACAAATGAAGTGGAATAGTTAGGAAATCCTTTTTGGAGGTAGAGGAATTTGAGCTAAGCCCTTAAGGTGAATAATCTGGATAATGTAAAAGGAAAGGAAAAGCATTCCAGATAGAAATTATTTCAGTGATATTCCAGATTTACTTGATTTATTTGATAACCATTTTTACTTGTAACTAGCATAGACTAAAATTGATAAGCATTTTATTTGAAGACGTGAGGATGGAATGACTTAAACTGTCAGTGGCTTAAAGTGTGTGTGTGTGGTTTTTTATGGTTTTTTTTAATGAACTGATTAAAATGTAATTTGGATTACACTTTAATGGGTTTATCGATCAAAAGTTATTTGGGATCTAGTTTTGTAAATTCTTCCTTACTCTACCCATTAACATTCTAGTTTCAACCCAAGGGTAGCATTCCGCTGGCATGCTATAGTCTTATTTTTTTAATATTGCTGGGAATGTATCCTAATCACTCAGATTAATTTGATGACTTTATTAGTTATTACAGTAGAATAAGCATGATAGTTGAGTTAAATGGCTAGAGTTCTGTTTGACTGTAACTTCTTCTCATTTAAAGGTGATGCTTTGGAACCTTCAGAAAGCCAGGCCAGTCTGGATTACAAATTTACAGGAAGATGAAACAGAAGAAATGGAAAGCCCACAATCACCTGGTCAGCTTTTAAACCCTGCTTTAGCCTACTCTGTGTCTGTGGCATCTTGTGGCAATATTTTTAGCTGTGGTGCAGAAGATGGTAAGGTTCGAGTTTTTAGGGTGATGGGAGTCAAATGTGAACAGGAACTAGGATTTAAGGGCCACACTTTGGGGGTATCCCAGGTCTACTTTCTGCCACAATCCTATTTGCTACTTACTGGAGGGAATGATGGAAAGATAATGATGTGGGATATAAGCAATGAAGTTGAGAAAAAACAGAAAAGCCCTACAAAACATACTCACAGGAGGAAAACTAAAAGGCAAGGTGGAAAACCTAATGCTTCAGGAACAGATGAAGAACGTGGCAAAATTTTACCAAAGCTAAGTATTGAACATGGAGAAAAAGTGAACTGGCTCTTGGGTGCAAAAATAAAGGGACACCAAAATATATTAGTAGCTGATCAAACCAGTTGTATATCTGTATATCTCTTAAATGAATTTTAAACCCAATAAAAACATTTGAAAAACTGCAAGACAGTTTTTCGTTTGTTTTTTTTTTTTAGATTAAAAAAGCCCTGATTTTTCACTTAAGCCATCTGTGTTATGCAGAGTAACAACAATCCATTGTATAAATTTTAAGACATTTGAATAAAAAAGATAATATTTCATGCAATAAATGACATTAAAATTTAGGGGAAAAAACTAACATTCACTGAGTACCGGCCATATACTCAGCCACTCAGCCATTTCATATATATTTCAATATGTAAATTACATATGTATTTTATGTATATTTAACTTCTTATTCCAAATCAAAGAAGTAGGTGATTTCCCCCATTTTAAGGCCACAGAAATCGAGGTACAGTGATGTTAAGTAATTTAAGAATCCAGGAAAATTGCAGGCACAATTAACTCACCAACAAAAGACCTTGGTTGTCTTATCAAGCCTCCTGCTTTAGGGAAATCTGTATCTTGATCCAGTTGTGGTTACATTAGTTATTTTGGATCCTGGAATGTCATGAAGATCCTTACCAAGTTGGAGGAAGAAAGAAACCTGTTCATGTTTGTTCTATGTAAAACCCAAGTTTTGCTACACCTTTTGCTAATGTTTCTAAGAAGAGCATGCCAGGGTCAGATTATTTTAAGATATTATGTAACAATCTGCCATGTTGCTGGTAGGGCCAAGAATAAACTGAAGTTATGAATAAGCAGAAACATGACTAAGCAAAAGATAATGAGGGATTAGAGACTAGAGGCCCAGGTAATGTGTCGAGTAAGTTCCTTTTCATCATGGCCTAATTGCTGTCTTTTCTGTATGTTCTTTCAGCCTCTGATTATACTGTCTACTCTTTTTTTTTTTTTTTAAACGAATGTACTTTAAATTGACCTACAGATTAAAAATTACTTACTGAAGACCAGTGGTCATTTCACTTCCTAATCTGTTAAAGCTGGAAAACCTCAAGGAACTTGGTTAACCACTTACTCTTATTGTTTCACCCCATCTACATAATTCTGCCTACTGTAAATATTTAAAGTTTTGAAAACAATCTAATTGGTTAACATTATCCTTGTTTGTGTGGAACTTTTTGATAAGCTCAATCACATTGCAGATGACAAAAACCAAATTCAGAATGGCTTATGAGAATTAAAAGGAATTTTTTGACTCTTATAACTGAAGATTCCAAGCATAATCAGGCATATGGTAACTAAGTTGTTTGGATGTAAGACTATAGGTCCCCTGCCCTTATGGAAGTCTTTCCCGGAGGTAGAAAGAGAATCCTCACAGTAATTTTGAGCCTAGAGCCAACCATGCCTGAAACAAGTATACCTGAAGCCTTTTTCCCCCCACTCCACTGAAGCTATTTGAACTGGATTTTAACGTGGAACTAAATCATTCCTGAGCCATTAAGTAGTGACCTCAGTTGGAATTTTAAAAAAGAAAACCATTTTGGCCATTAAAAAATTCATTGACAAAGAACCTTGACGTGAGTATTTACAGAACAAGTTTCTAATCCCAGCACTGAACACAGCTCTTGGTCATTTTGGGATTTAGTTTACTTGAAAATGAGGCAGTTGAATTAGAAATCCCCTGAAGTACCTTCCATGATACTGTTTTATTAAATTAAAATATAATAATATTGTGCTCATCTCATGGATCTATAATGTTGGGAAGGACTAATAGTCATGGGAAATCATAAGGGGTTTTAGAGGGAGCTTTTGAAAAATTATCAAAGTACAGTATCAATTGAGCTGTTGAGCCCAAATAATTTTGTGGGAGCAAAAACAAAAGTATACCAAAATTGAAACCTTAGTGTTAATCAAACTTCTTTTGATTGCTGATAACTCAGACTAATAACCAGGAAAACTATTAACCAAGGCAACTGCATTTTTTAATCCAATCTTGGTCACTTGTCTGCTTCTCGCTGCATGATGGCTTTCACTTGGCAAAAAGGTGTTCTTTCAGGGCTACATTAGAACCTATTTCAATGCCAGAAGCGGAGTTCCAGGTCCCTGGAAATAACCTGATTGGTCTGACTTAGTAATGTTCCTAGCTCTGATCAGGAATGTTGTTGCTTGCTATCTACATTGCCAAAAGGGCCTAGTCCCAGAGGTGGGGATATAGTTATCAGAAAAGGGGGGCATGGACTAAACTAAGAGTCCCTGAACATCTCCAAACAACTATGGATATTTTGGTAAATTTGCAGTGTGAAAATTGTATACAAAATGAACTGCTCTTAGTCATTTTTCTACAGTTTGACTCAGTGTGCATTACTTGAGGTAATAAGAGTTTGAAGAAACAAAGGTAAACAAAAGAAAGCACCTCAGCTTAGGCATAAGAAAAGCCAGGGTATCATTTTGTATATAGCTTAGTTCCCGTTGTTGGCCGTCATTTAGATAAGTAAGACCTTAAAAGAAATAAGAACTTAAATAGTTATTAGAACTTAAATTTTTTTTAAGATTTATTTATGCATACAAGATTGGGGTACAGGCCAGAGGTGCAGGGGGTGAGAGGATTCACCAGACAGAGTGGGGAACAGAACAGGCAGATTGACCGAAATATGCTGCTGAGGGGAGCAGTGGACAAGACAGGAGAGGTCTGCTGCACCATGTGGGTTGTTCCCTGGCTGGCTGGGAATCGAACTGGTGCTGCAGTGGCTGTGGATAGTTTCATAGGTTGCTTCTTAACCCTTGTGCCACCAGGGAGGCCCTAGAACTTAAATTCTTATTCCAGGGATTAGAACCTGTAAATGCTACATTATTTGGTAATAGGATATTTACAGATGTAATTATAAATCATAAAGGATTATGTTTACAACCATGGTCAGTGTACACTTGTCTTTCTATTAGAATGAAATGGTTAAGGACAAGATTTCTGTCCTATTTAGTTCTGAATTTATGATTTGGCTTGTCCTGGACGCACCCTACCCCCACCTAACACAAATAGTTGTCCTTAAATACTGAGTCAAGGGAGGTGAAAATGCCCAGGTGTGGAAAGAAAATATAAAAGTGAACCTGAAGAGTGCTGGTAGCTGGATTACCGGGCAACTAAACTGCCTGTTTCTAGTGATTTTTAATACCAAATATCAGAGATACACGTACCTTTTCCAACCAATGCTCAATTTACAGACACCCACAGGCTCATTGCACATTTGATATTCTCGCTCCAAATTACCATAGGGCAACTGCAGCAGGGAATATTGGCCATTCCACTCGGCTAAGTTTCTTCAGAGACTTATGTAAGTAGTAAGACCAGAGGGACATCTTGTGCTAGAGGGAACAAGGTACCCTGCTGTCACTACAGAGGAGGATTTAATGTAGGCCAGAAGAGGATGTGGGGAAAATCCTGAACACTTCCCCAACATCTGGAGTGCCCCTTCCATACCCTGCCACACTTGGTGGAGGAAAGGGCTGGGCAGAAAGTAAAATGATAGTTACCAGGGCCTGAAGGGTGGAGGGGAATGGGAGAGATGTTTAAAGGTACATGCTCGCAACTGGTAGATAAGTCCCGGAGACCTATTAGACCTAATTATAGATAGCAAAAGTGTTTCATAAACATTAATTTGCTTAGATGCTAGATCTTAATTGTTCCCACCACTAAAATAAATCATTGTGTGACCCAACAGAGGTAATAACAATGTTAGTAATATTACAATGGCAACCATATTCCAATTTAAATGTATGAAATAAATATGTTGTATACCTTAAACCTACATGGTGTTGCTGTCATATCTCAAATTTAAAAATTAAGATAGTAGAATATTATGTCAGATATAGGAAGTTATATAGCTATTGACTGATGAGAGCTTTTATCTTTAGTGTAGTGTACTCAGGAAAGAAGGAAAGTTGAATTAAATTCAACAGAACATATTTGAATATGAAAGTACCATTATCACCATAACCTGGTGAAAAAGAAAATTTGTGGGGCCTCCCCGGTGGCGCAGCGGTTGAGCGCTGGGTTGCAAAGTTGCAACTCTGCAGCTCCAGTTCGATCCCCGGCCACCAGTGAGGGTCCCATATGGCTCGCAGATCTTTCCTGCCACCCGCTGCTCCCCTCAGCAGTGTACTTTGTCAATCTGCCTGTTCTGCTCTCTGCTCTGGCTCTAGTGAATTCTCTCACCCTCCTGCGCTTCTGACTGTACCCAATGCTTGTATAAATAAATAAATCTTTTTTTAAAAAAAAGAAAAAAAATTTGTTATCCCCATAAGAAACCCCATATCCATTAGCAGTTACTCCCCATTTTCTTCTACTGCACCACCCTAGGCAACCATTATATTCTGTCTCTCTAGACATTTCATATAAATGGAATCATATATTGTGGTCTTCATGACTGGCTTCTTTAAGTTAGCATTATGTCTTCAAGAGTCATACCATGTTGTGGTATATATAAGTACTTGGTTCCTTTTTATGACCAAATATTTCATTGTATGTATATATCACATTTTGTTTATACACTCATCAACTGATGTTTAGGTGGTTTTCACTTCAGGGCTATTATGAATAATGCTATTGTGAACGAGCATGTAACTAGAAGTGGAATTGCCAGGTCATATGGTAACCTCATGTTTAATGTTTTGAAGAACTGCCAAAATGATTACATGCACCATTTTATATTTCTAGCAAAAAAGTATGAGGATCCTACTTCTCGACAGTCTCACCAAATTTGTTATTTTCTGTCTTTTTTATTATTGTCATCCAAGGGGATGTGAAGTAGTAGCTCATTGTAGTTTGGGTGTGCATTTCCCTAATGACTAATGAGCTTGAGCATCCCGTCATATGCTTATTGACTTGCCATCCATGACAATTATATTTTCAGCAAAGTTGCCACACTAATTCATTATATGACATTATATATGAAATTATCTTTCAAAAAAATGTTGCTGGAGCAATTGCGTATCATATGCCAAAAAATTAACTTCAACCCGTATCGTACGCAATAAGTAATGGGTCAGGGCCTCCCTGGTGGTGCAAGGGGTTAAGCATCACACTATGAAGCAATCCACAGCCTCTGCAGCATGAGTTCAATCCCCTGCTGGCTAGGGAGCAACCACATGGTGCAGCAGACCTCTCCTGACTCTCCTGCTGCTCCCTCAGCAGTGTATTTCAGTCAGTCTGCTTGTTCTGTTCCCCACTGTCTCTGGTGAATCCTCTCACCCTCCGCATCTCTGGCCTGTACCCCAGTTCTTGTATGCATAAATAAATAAATCTTAAAAAAAAAAAAGTAATGGGTCATAGGGCTAAACATAAGAGCTAACACTGTAGGGCCTCCCTGTTGGTACAGCGGGTTGAGCACAGTGCTGTGAAGCTGTCGGCAGCCCCTACAGCACCGGTTCAATTCCTGGCTGGCCAGGGAGATTTCCACATGGTGCTGCAGATGTTGTATTTTGGTCTCTCTGCCTGTTCTGCTCCCTGCTCTTTCTCTGGTGAATTCTCTCACCCTTACGCGCCTCTGGCTTGTACCCCAGTGCTTGTATAAATAAATAAATCTTAAAAAAAAAAAAAAAAAAGAGCTAACACTGTAAAATGTAGGAAACATAAAAGATCTTTGTGACCTTGAGTTACACAAAGATTTCTTAGGACACAAATACATGACCTGTAAGACAAAAAAAAAATTTTGACAAATTCAACCTCATCAAAATGGAAAATTTTGCTCTTCAAAAAAATTTTTTAAGGAAGTGAACAGTAAGCCATAGAGTGGGAAAAAATATCTGTAGAACATATGCTTAAAGAATTACATGCCAAATATACAAGCAACTCTTTTACTTAATAAGAGGACAATTCAATTAAAAATGAACAAAGGATCTGAACAGAGGATAAGTGAATCACTGATAAGTACATGACATGGTGCCGGACATCAATAGTCATTAGGCAAATGTGAATTGACACTGCAATCTTATGTCTCTACATTTCCATCAAAAGCACTAAAATTAAAAAGACTGAATGCTGGTGAGGATGGAGAGTAACTGGAACTCTCATAGGTTGTTGGTAGAAATGAAAACTGGAATAGTCGCTTTTGAAAAGAGTTTTGCAGTTTTTATGTTATCAAATAAATACCCACTATATGAGCCAGCAATTCCACTCCTAGATAATTGCCCAAGGAAAATAAAAATGCATGTCCACAAACGTCTCTACCTAAATGTCTATAGCTACTTTATTCTTAATAGCTAAATTGGAAACAAAACAAGTGTTTATCAACTGGTGACTATTTGAACAAATTATTCTATATCCATACAATGGAATACTACTAAGCAATAAAAGCAACAAAGTATTGACACATATAGCAACCTGGATGAATCTTAAAGCATGAGTGAAAAAAGGCAGACACAAAGTACTATGTGATTCTATTTATATGACATTCTAGAAAAGGCAAAGCAGAAAGTAAATCAGATTACCTGGGTC